CCAAAACAGTCCGTTGCTGGCGCCATCTTTGATAGCAATTGGATGATGAGGAAGCCTGCTGATTACATCTCGCTGAACAACAACCCGCTCTCCATCGACTTGCGCGCCCTCGTTCACATCCCAGATCCTCAACTCCGTGATGCGGTTTTGTCGGCGGTGTCTGCATCTGTCTCAGTACGTCATTGTCTACCCAATAGAGCTCTTGAAATGGAAGTTTCTGATCCGTTATCCGTCTCCAGAGTGTATGGATAGTGTGTACACCATGTCTTGGGGCTGCGTTCTTGGTAAGTCTATTCGCCATTATGGGCCCAACGGCGGAATAGAGCGAGATATCTAACTCCTCGCCTCCCCCCTCTACAGTTATCATTATTACTACGTGTCAAGCACCACCCTTCACATTATTCCATCGAATCTTCTCCTTCTGCTCCGCTTTCGGCCACGTCTTCTCTTACGGATGTGGAGAAGGGTCTTGGTAGCGGTATCTCCACTGTCGATGAAAAGCTAAACTCTGCAACCTCCACCCCAGGAGAGCTCCCGACACTACATCTCAAGCCCACTAGCGATATCTCTCCGATTTCGACCCTAGTGCCATCTAGCACAGCGTCGTCTCCGGGCGAAGGGCCTGATTCGCTCGAGTTCGAGCCAGCTGCTAGGAAAGTGCTTGATGAGCAACCCTTGAAGCTGATACTCTCTCCGCCCCCTGTACCTCGCATCTCTAACGAACAAACTCGGACAACACGAACCGACGAAGAGGATCCCCAACGAACCCATCAAAATGTATAATTTCGCCCAGACTCGCCCCGACCATTACGTTCTTCAACGGACCCATCCGAGACTGCCTTTACTCTTTCTTGGATCTTTATTCCACGCACAGACGATTTATACTACTCACAGGACAAGCCCAGTAACCCGCACGTTCACAATCACATGCAATTTTCCCGACCCATACAACATTTCGCAATAATAATACCCGCTGGTCATCCCATGCATCACATTCCCGGTCTTCACACACATCTTTATTCACATCAAGTAAAGCTACTACCCATTACGTTAACTGTCTTGTAACGTACGATACACCATTTCGACGTTAATCATCATTTTTTGTCTCATGG